CAAATGAATAATTAGTCACATCCTCTTAGTAAATGTGAAGCTGGTTGGCTAATGCATGACAAGACTGCACGAAGTTTGACCTTTAAAATGACACATTAGAGTCCCAGGATATACAGTATGTATTTTCCTGCTATCTTCCCTCTTGTCACAAGCTGCCTTCCCTACCAGAGTCATAATTACTACTAGATATAAATTAGCATTACATTCCAAGTTTAATCCAGATGTATTTAAGAGATATAGTCACTATAGAGCTGTAGCTGCACATCCAGCACTACAGTATATGAAATCATTATACATTTCACACTTGACTGGAGCTTGTTTTAGAAAGTTCACAGCATGATAAAATGTGTGCTAGTGTACCTCTGAGGAAATGGTATCTAATTGCTTGTCAGTTATTAAAAATAGTTATCTGGGCATTAACAAACATACAACAAACATGCACAAGCTGTGACATGTGGGGTTTTGAATTTAGTACACACTGTGTCAAGCGGTTTTGCAAAACAAAACAAATAAATGTGAGATAAAGTATATTTTAAAGCGTCTACTGAATTGCTACAAAGAAAAAAACTTTAAAGTCCCTGTCAATAATATACAACTCGTTTTGACAGGATCTGAGAAAGTACTGGTGTCGCAGTGCATTTCAACTATCTAATAACTTGCTCTGTCTTCATTCATATTGCACAAGGTCAGATCAGCCTGTGTGGCGAACAAGGAAGAATCTTGCTGAACTTTCTTTCCCTGGTTCTGAGCAGTCTTTGACCAGGATCCATTTCAACCACTACAGGCAGGCTTCTGGCTTTCACATCAGTAAGAAAGGAGATTGGGGTGTGTGTGTGTGTGTGTGTGTGTGTGTGTGAGTGTGTGAGAGGTGGTGTTTGACCTTTTTCAGTGCAAGGACTGGTAAGTGATATGTGATTCAAATGTGTCAGGGAGAACTAAAAATGAGGAGAGATGGAAAGCAGCAGGAGCAAGCAAATTTCAGTCATACAGCAGGGAAGGTATGAAATCTTGAAACTCTAATCCACCCAGGATATCTTCTTTAATCAAACAACATGTCAATCTGTGTTCTAAGGATTATTATGAATGACATTATACTTCTCAAATGCCACCTGTCAGGCAGTAAAGGATGTACTGGATGCATGACAAATATCTTTAAAATGGTTAAACAATAATTAGGAAAACTCAGCAGCAACCAAGGCTTGCCATATGGTGAATCAAAAAATTACCTTGAACAAGCATTTACATTTTAACTCATAAGCCCACCGCTGTAAAGTTGCGTCCCAGAACATATCAAAGCAGGTTGTTACCACCTTATTAAAAGATGCAGCATCATTTCCTCAGGGGAATTCAAAGATTCGATTCCACTGAAATCCCTTTCAAGGAAATTTAAAAAACATTTCCTATTCAAAATGTTCACTCCTATGTATCTACACTTTTAAGTTGGAGATGCATGATTAGAAGCTCTGATTAGTATTCAGGGTCCACAGCGTGTGCAATGCCAATTATCCACTGGGTCATTACCACTCTTGAGAGAAGTCGCACTGGCAAAAGGGTTTAAGGGAAAAGGCCTAAATTTTCATCAGCAGTTGCAGAGTGTCTTTGGTGGTATTGACAAGGGACAAATGAAACCACTCAGAGGGATTTAAAAAAAAAGAACTAAACCATACAAGTAGAAAATGGTTACTCTGTTTATACATTGCCAAAACATTATAGGTAGAAAGAGATGTAAAAAAGTAAACAACGGTGTCTGCAGGAGAGTTTTGGTCATGGCTAAAACAGCTAAAAAATTATTATTCCATAAGTCCAATGTTAAGCTCCACCGTTGCTCAGCCGGGAGGTGGTGCGGTATCTTAAGCAGCAGGATTCAGCTCATGTCCTAAGTGCCCCCCAGGTGTTTTTCTCTGCTGATTACAGAACGGGGGAAAGTAAAAAGTAAAAACAAGTATTCACAACAGTTATTGTTTCTTTTAAGATATCTTGAGGTAATTATTTTTTAGATATTACAAGGGATTTAAGTAATTGGAGTTCTTCTCACTGCATTGCTCTGCATTATTTTGAACATCTGTACACTGTGGGAAGAGACACCACTGAAATTTAAACAGATCTCACACTTTATACAGCCTCTGCTATATGAATATTTGTCATGCAGTAGAGCTTTTCCCACCTCTTGTAGTGAAGGCCCTCATGGAGAATAACCCCAATTATGTCAAAGGATAACTAGTGTGTCAAGAGACAGAGATATTTTAAAACTGAATTTCTGAACTTGTTCTACTCTTGACCAAAATCTGTCACTTTCAGGCACTCCGTTACAGTTGTAAAGAATATTCTCAGTGAAGATGTACTGTACTCATGGTGAAAACAATGTTCTCATTGGGAATGTTAAAACATCATGTTCCAATACCAACACAGCAACAATTATTTCTTTATATACAGTAGAAGTACAAAATGTTCAAATTAAAATGCCAGGTGTTGATGTCTGTGTTACTAAGGGAATACTGACACTTTGACAAAGTGCATCTAGGGGCTCTTTAACTTCAGCTATCAGACATGGTTGCTACCTCTTGCCTGAGTATTAAAGTTGTGACATGAATGCTTACATTTTCCAGCACCAACTCCTTAGACCTTATTTAAGGTAAAAAAAAAACATGAATTACCTGTTTGACCTTGTACTTTAATGGGCATGAAAGATAAACATATTTGTTCTTTGTATTATTCATGAAGCCAATTCAACAGCATGAACTAGTCAATAAAATCAGTGTGAGAGTTAAACCAAGGTGATTGACTGTGTCTGGTATACAGGGAATCATAAGACCTTAGGTTTGGACCCTTCCCTTATGCTCTTGCTTTCATATGAGATCCTAGGATGTACACCACAAGACCTAGAGCATATATTAGCATACTACATTATTCATCACACGTGAGTATCTTGACTGGCAGAAACATTAACTGCAGCTTGTTCAAAACAAACTAAATATGGAGATAACTAACCTCAGAGATTAGGTAAATGTGGAATTGAGACTGATGCAGTTTCTGCATTAGCCCAAGGTCATGTGACACATAATCATAGTAGAAACCAATAATAACAACAATAATAAAGACAACTATGTTTGTAAAAAGTAATAAATAAGATTTTACTAATTCCTGGCCTAAGATGGCAAATCAGAGGAGGCTTGACAGCATTGGTGACCAATATGTTAACAATTATGTCACAAGATGTGGGGATCTCTGTCTCTCAGAGTGTACTTTTTGTCCAATGTTCCCAGTTACTGTACAACCGTTGCCATTTTAACACACTTGAGCACCTTAGAGAGCAATGCTGGAATTTTTTATTACATAGAAATATGTTTTTGCTCTGTGGACAAACCCAAAACACATACACACTCCCAGTGAGAAAATGAAAGTAAGCGATAAGTTCCTAATGACTCCAGCTGGCCAGCACAGCAAGAAAGTGTTTCAGCGCTCTGGCCAGTAATGTTGTCCCTCTTTCCTCCACATCAGGGTGTCAGACTTTAAACTGAAGTGACAGATCACTCCTTTAACTACTCTCTCTTGCAAAGGACACTGAGGACTAGATTCAGAGACATAAAGGTCAGTCTACCAGGTTGGTTGTGCTAATGGACTGCTGACCAGACAGAAAGCCAGCCTCTCAAGAGACATGTGCAGCCTAGTTCTCACCCCAACAGTGTGGGTCCCATGTTCTTCGCATCACTTCCATCACCATTTGCCAACACCTGGGCTCATTGTCACTTTAACTGTCTCTTCACTTTGCACCTCGCTCTGCTCCTTACTGAGTCACTCATTGTGTCGTTTATTCTGTGGTCACTTCTCACAAATGTCAAAAAGTAGGAATCTTAAGTCTTGACGCAGAAATGTGTAGGTGGCTATATTTTGTGAAGATTTGAAGCTCACAGCACAAATCAGGCATTTGTCAGGGTCTGCCTCAAGATGGCAGTGTTTACCATGGCAGCTACTCCGCCTGTGAGCTCAGCAGGCAGAGAGCCCTGGGTGAAACAGTGTTATCTACTGCATTGAAATAAAGTCATGATTGGATGGCGGTGGCTATTTAGTGATGGCTGGATCTGTTTGGCCGACACTGATTCCATTTTTTAATTAATTATTTGCTCTTTTCTAGTTACCTTGCGTCACTTCTGACATGCGGTTTGGGGTCAGGCGCCTCAAGTTACACGGTTCAAACTGCTCTTGTTGCTTTGAAACGTATATAAAGTAAGATCACCTGCGGTTGTGTCTATTCCAGTCACATCACAGCCTCCTCAGATCATCACAACTCTAGCACGAGGCAGTAAACTTAAAAGGAAATCCAATTCACCCATTACGCAAAGAGCGCGCACCGCATGCTGCTGTATAGTTTCATGTCTGGGGATAAACTGTCAAGGTTATTTCTTAAGGACAAATGCTGATGAGTGGCTACAGGGTGCCGAGCGTGGCGGGCAGAGCGTGCATATGCACTCCGCGCAAATATGCTTAGACAACGGCTTCTCTGTCTAGAGTACAATTATTTGTGACTCTCACACAGGCACTGTCTGTGTCTGTGTTTATCCTTGACAAGTCATATTTACGCTGCAATGCATCTTTTTTTTAACGTGCTTCAGTCTTTTGGCTTTTAATGTCCACCTCAATTAGTGTAGCCTACCTGACAACAGCCTAACAGGTTGGCTTATTCGCGTTTGATGCGTCCCTTTAGAGCCAATGACTGCTATTTTCCTTTACATAATCACCGACGGTGTAAAAGCTATAGAGGACCATTCTTTTTTTTCTACATTATCGGCGACAGCACTGGCAGCTTCATCATTATCATCGTCATCATCATCCCCCTTCGGGTTCGGGGTTTTGGTTAAGCGTCTCTGCATCCTGCAGCATCTTCACAGAGCATCTCAGCGGACAACCCTCAGGTCTGCATTAAGTGACGTGACTTCGGGCCAATCGCGTTGCTGCTCGGGTTGTCGACGCCTCTAAAAGAGAGGGGCGGTGTCCAATGACGAGGGTCGGTGAGGTTCGGGGCGTCGGTGTGGTGTACTTCACCACTCCTCCGGTGGGTTTACACAGAGTTAGTGCAAGATATTCTGCTCTGGGAGTGAGAGCGCACGGATAAACGGCACATACGCGCTGGCATCGGTGTCACACTAAACAACCTTTCTATGTAGGTTGGCATTTCCAAGAGGGATCGACTCTGAGCTTTCACGCCTCTGTTTTGCATGAATGCCTTCATGATCTTTTTTAACCTTGTGTCTGCGTTGGCTGAGTATTGATGGAGCTCCCCGAACTTGAAACATGACGGGACATGAGTGTCTTTGCTTGCGTTCACCTCGTCGGCGCCTTAACCTTAACAGGTAGCCGGGGAGGGGGGAAACGCCGGTTTTTTCGGGACGTGTAAGGGAGATGAGCATCGGTTTTGGGACCTGTTCTAATGGAAGACCACACAAACCACTGACCACCTGGCTGCGTCTGCTGGAGGGCTACGCTGGTTACCGCAATCACCACAGGTCGTACAATTAGATCCTGTCCATTCCTGAAGTTAAATTGGGAAAAAGGAACTGCGACATATGCAGCCTCTAATTTACTCCAGTTTGTGCGACCAGCAGCTTTTACCCCAAAACGGTTCTTTACTCTGATTTCTCCTGCGGGGCGATTATCTTTTTCTCCCTCAAAGCTAGATCTGACTGATCTTTATCCGAATAAGCTCGCAGGCACACTGGATAAGAAGACTATGAGCTGACACACTCCAGTTTTCCTCCTGCGCTGGAACGGAACATTTTGGGTATGTAAGAAAAGAATAGGTCTCATTTGTCCACTATGAATTCAAAATCAGACTGAGCTTGTTTTGTAGGCTTCATTCATGCGCATTCATTCGTATAGGAGCCCCACACACAGCAACAGCTCTTTAATCTCGGCAATTTAAGTGTAAAATTAATAAGACTGCGTAATGTGTTGTGAAGTTTTGTGGCCACGGGGGATCGAGGCGCAGAAAATTCTTAGTGGCCATATATGTGGTGATTTAGAATGGGAGCAACATACATCAATGGCTGCCTAAATGGTTGCTGCAGTGTTTTGTTGATTGTTTTTCTAGGAATTGTTGACCAAGGCCTATAGACAGATTTTATAGCAACTTATGTAAAAAAAAAAAGAAAAAAAAAAGAAAGTGTACTAAACAGCTGGTTATAAAGAGGGGGTTGTTTGTTAATTACATTCAATTACTGTGCATGGTAAAGTTATTTCAGAGAAACTCTGTCATGTATTCATAGGTTTGTCTGTGGAAGATTCCTGCCATCACATGCAAGGAGTCATCACCTGTAACAACGCTGCATAGAAAGAAACCTTTGAGTTGTGGAGGCTGGAAACACATTTACATTGTCATGGATGTAAAATACTATTACCTGTTGGGCGCCCTATTTGCCTGCATATGGCTAGATCCTTCACTAGCCCAAGAGCTAATCTACCCCATCAGAGAGGAGTTGCAGGAGAATTTCCTCATTGGAAATATACCAAAGGACCTAAACATTTCTCATACAAATGCTGCCACTGGAGCAAGTGCTAATCTCGTGTACCGGCTCGTCTCCAAAGCAGGAGATAACCCACTGGTCCGCGTTCTGAGCAGCACTGGTGAGATATTCACAACATCAAACCGAATTGACAGGGAGAAGTTGTGCCCTGGTCCCTCATCTGAGGACAGCGAGTGCTCCTTTGAAATTGAAGTGGTCATACTGCCTAATGATTATTTCAGGCTTATTAAGATCAAAATAATTGTCAAAGACACAAATGATAATGCCCCCATGTTCCCGTCCCCTGTGATCAACATCTCCATTCCTGAGAACACGCTCATTAACAGCCGCTTTGCTATTCCTTCTGCCACTGACCCAGACACTGGACCCAACAGTGTCCACAAATATGAGCTGATAAATGGGCAAAGTGCCTTTGGCTTAGACATAGTAGAAACGCCTGAGGGGGAGAAGTGGCCCCAGCTCATTGTGCAACAGAATCTGGACAGAGAGCAGAAGGACACATATGTGATGAAGATCAAAGTGGAGGATGGTGGCAGTCCACAGAAATCCAGCACTGCTATTCTCCAAGTTACAGTAACTGATGTCAATGATAACAGACCAGTGTTTAAAGAGAGCCAGACAGAGGTGCACATACCGGAGAACTCCCCTGTTGGCACATCTGTTGTGCAGCTCCAGGCCACAGATGCAGACATAGGGGCAAATGCAGAGATACGCTATGTATTTGGAACTCAGGTCTCTCCTGCTACAAAAAGACTCTTTGCATTAAATACAACATCTGGCCTAATTACAGTGCAGAGGCCTTTGGATAGAGAGGAGACTGCTATCCATAAGCTCTCTGTTTTAGCTAGTGATGGCAGCTCTAGCCCTGCCAGAGCTACTGTTACCATAAATGTGACTGATGTTAATGACAATCCACCTAATATAGACCTGAGATACATAATCAGTCCCATTAATGGCACAGTCTTCCTCTCAGAGAAGGATCCTATCAATACCAAGATAGCTCTCATCACGGTGTCAGACAAAGACACTGACATCAATGGCAAGGTCATTTGTTTTATAGAGAAGGATGTGCCCTTCCATCTCAAAGCAGTGTATGACAACCAGTATCTGTTGGAGACATCTGCGCTGCTTGACTATGAAGGGACCAAGGAGTACAACTTTAAAATTGTAGCTTCTGACTCTGGAAAACCGAGTTTGAATCAGACTGCATTGGTGAGAGTGAGGCTGGAGGATGAGAATGACAACCCCCCAATTTTTACTCAGCCAGTTATTGAGCTGGCTGTGATGGAAAACAACAAACGTGACCTGTTCCTTACTACTCTCAGTGCCACAGATGAGGACAGCGGGAAAAATGCAGAGATAGTTTATCAGCTGGGTCCAAACGCTTCATTCTTCGATCTCGACCGCAAAACAGGGGTCCTGACTGCATCCAGGGTTTTTGACCGAGAGGATCAGGATAGGTTCCTCTTCACTGTAACAGCAAGAGATAATGGGACGCCGCCTCTGCAAACACAGGCAGCCATTATTGTTACTGTGCTGGATGAAAATGACAACAACCCAAAGTTCACACATAATCACTTTCAATTCTTTGTGTCTGAGAACCTTCCTAAATACAGCACCGTAGGGGTGATAACTGTGACAGATTCAGATGCTGGAGAAAATGCTGCAGTTTCTCTTTCCATACTGAATGACAATGAGAACTTTATATTAGATCCTTACTCTGGGGTGATCAAATCTAATGTGTCATTTGATAGGGAGCAACAGAGCTCCTACACGTTTGATGTGAGGGCCGTCGACAGTGGCAGGCCTCCTTGCTCCTCGGCTGCCAAGGTGACCATCAATGTCATTGATGTGAACGACAACACCCCAATCGTCATCTATCCCCCCTCCAACACATCTTTCAAGCTTGTCCCTCTCTCCTCCATCCCAGGGTCTGTGGTGGCAGAAGTGTTTGCTGTAGATGGCGACACAGGGATGAATGCAGAACTCAAATATACCATTGTGAGTGGAAACAACAAGGGTCTGTTCAGAATTGACCCTGTCACAGGGAATATTACTCTGGAGGAAAAACCAGCAGTGACTGACATAGGCTTGCACAGATTAGTGGTTAACATCAGTGACCTGGGATATCCCAAATCCCTCCATACTCTGGTGCTGGTATTTCTCTTTGTCAATGACACTGTGGGCAACTCGACACTCATTTACGATCTCATCCGACGCACCATGGAGACCCCAATTGACCGAAACATTGGTGAAAGCAGCGAAACTTATCAAAGTGGTGATTATCTAACCATAATGATAGCCTTTGTTACCGGAGCCTTAGTGGTGATTATCGTCATCTTTGTCACTGTGCTGCTGCGCTGCCGCCATGCTTCCAGGTTCAAAGCTGCACAGAGGAAAAAACAGGGGGCCGAATGGATGTCACCCAACACAGAGAACAAGCAGAATAAGAAGAAAAAGCGCAAGAAAAGGAAATCCCCTAAAAGTTCCTTGTTCAACTTTGTCACCATTGAGGGTAACAAACCTGACGATCCTGCCCATGAGCCAATCAATGGAACCATCAGCCTGCCCACCGAGCTGGAGGAGCAAGGGATTGGACGCTTTGATTGGAATGCCACACCTACCACTACCTTCAAACCTAGCAGCCCAGACCTGGCCCGGCACTACAAATCCGCATCGCCGCAGTCGGCCTTCCACCTCAAGGCTGACACACCGGTCTCAGTGAAGAAGCACCACGTGATTCAGGAGCTCCCATTGGATAACACATTTGTTGGAGGCTGTGACACCCTTTCCAAGAGGTCCTCCACGAGCTCCGACCACTTCAGTGCCTCAGAGTGCAGCTCCCAAGGAGGGTTCAAGACGAAGGGGCCCATGCACACCAGACAACAGGTAAAAGAGCACTTTTACTGGTCTATAAGTACTGCCTATAACTGCCCTGTTCCACAGTGCTAAAGTGCCAGTCTAGATTACAGACTCTAAGATACTGTGAAACAACAGAAAAGTACAGGAGACATACTGCTTCAGCAAGTTCTTCTGTTTCTCAAACTAATTAAAAAAAAAAAAGAAAAAGCAAACGTGATTTGAATAACTGCTAATTAATGGAGCTTGATTGTGGACTCAACAATCACATGCAGAATTTTGGGGAATAATTATAGACTGATGCTTTGTCATTAATATATATTTAATTCATATTTAACAAAATGCAAGTGGGGGAGTGATTGCCTTGCCTTATTCTGTCTATTCAAGCATCCAGGTTAGATCATTGGTAAAATGTACCATCCTAACATTAATTGTGACTCAATGTTCTTTGTGAAAGAAACATTTTTTTCTTGCCTATCTACTCAGATGATCATCATAGATAAATGCTGCACACATTCTCCAAAAAATAGATGACTTTTCACCTCTCATAAAACTCTTGAGTGTATTCATGTTTTTTGTTTGTTTCTTTGTTTTGGTGTGTACTGTAATATCACATAAGACTTTGTAACCTTTTCCAACACCTGCAGCAATAACAACAGTCAATAATTAGTCTGCTGCTGTGGTATTGTGAATGTCACTGTAGGCTTTGCCACATCATCTAAGCTTGAATTAAATGCCTCCTCTCAAAGCACACTAGCGAACTGAGTGAAGCTTGTCTGGAACTTGATACACATCCAATTCAAAAAGGATTAGCCAATAATGAGCCTCAAATTTCAACGTAATCCATGCAGCTTTTTATCAAAGCCTTATTAATTTTTCTGCTAATAAAGCACCACTACACAACACACAGTTCTAATCTAATAGAACACACGTGGACAGATACAGGGAGCAGCACAGAAGAGGGGGGAGAGGAAGTGCAGAGGGAGACAGGGAGGCAGAGTGAGAGTGTTGTCAGTGGGTCAGGCTTGATGGGTGGTGGTACTAAACCTTTAGGTGGCAGTGTTGCGCTGCATGGCACAGCCTGGCAACACGCCAACCTGCAGTGGACTTATAAATGCCAGGGAGGAGAAGAAAGGAGTGAAACCTATGGTGGTGTTCTTAGTGAAATACTCTCACCTAATGATGCAGAGGCTGCACAAGGAAGATTGATAATGGCAGTTAGAGAAGTGAGTGATAAGATCTATCCGGCAGAGGGAGTGGAATTACAGGGGTGACACTGTGCAACTCCTATCCATGCATACCTCCAGGTCACTGCATCTGGGGTTGCATTTAATGTGTTTCTGTGTGAGCGGCAGCAGTCAAAAGAGGCATTCAGTTTGGCATTCATTTGCCAGGCGCCTTTGGTGTGTGTGTATATGCATGTGTGTGTGTGTGTGTGTGTGTGTGTGTGTGTGTGTGTGTGTGTGTGTGTGTGTGTGTGTGTGTGTGTGTGGTCGGTAATTTGAGCGAGACGAGGCAATGGAGTGGTGGCAGGGGATTTTCAAACGTAGAGGAGGACACATGAGATAGGAGACTATACTGTAAGCACAACTTCATTGATCTGCTCACTCATCCCACAATTCCACAAAAGATTTATTGGAATCAATAATTTTGACAAATGATGCAGAGAAGCACACAAACAGAACCAGTTACATTCTATATAGCGCCACTCTTAATAATGATAACGCACTGCTCCAGATACTTTTGTTTACACATGTTTATGAAATGTTATGTACAATTTGATTAATACAGTATTTTTCTATGCACTTGTGTGTAGTATAAATGTAATCCTTACAGAAGCCAAGAGTTGAAACTGTCCTTACTGTTTTTGCACTCCTTAATGGTACAAACCAGTTTAGCTGAGTCTTGCCAATCTCAAATCTTACGTCTTCATTCAGTACTGTCACTTATTTTTAGAACAGCAACATAAAACATGTCATAATAAGCATCACATTTTGCAATCATGTCAAAAATTCACAAAATTGTGTTCAAATTTACATTATTTATTTATTTATACAGTATTATTTAGGTCAGGATAAAACCCACTACCATAATAAAGTACAAGAAGAAAAACAAGAAATATTATTCACATTAGCAACACTCATGAAATACTCAGATAAAGATGAGCTAAAAACCATTTTGACTGCACACAAAGGTACACTTTTTCATCTCCATTTGCTCATTATTAGAAGAAAAAGTCATTTTCAACCTTCCCACTATTCGCAAATAATCAGATTTTGGATATTTGCCATAAAGACTCATAGAAGGAATATCTGTTTGGTTCATAGTCATCATTACCCTAAAACATCTTAATGATGAAGATTCCAGCTCAGAATTCAGATTAAATGGAAGTTATTGATTGTGGTACAGTGATTAGACTGTGCTGACTGCATTCACGTCTTACTAGACAAAGCAGGGTATGTTATCAATGCCACTGTTACATCCACATGCAGATTTTTTTTTTTTTACACAATGCAACCATTTGTATTGACATGTGCATGCCATCTCCATTTCATGAGCACTGATAAGTAGACAGCCACCCAATCTCTCACATTCCTTTTTGAATTTTGTGTATAGACTAAAAGCAGAGAGAAGATTTCTTGTAATTTAAGTCAATAAATACCAATTGCCTTTGAGTGAATTTTTTAACACCATATTCAGAAGGTGATATCATCAGATTGTCATATCATATTCCTTTCAAAGCAGAACTGCTTTGGAAATAATGTAGATAAGAACTTCATTCTTCAAATATTTCTTATATTTGCATAGATAATAAAAACAAGTGAATGTCATTTAAAGTTATTAGCAGTTATTATCAGCCGTAAAATGTGAATTGATGTAATATATTGAAATTACAGCTACACATGAAGTGTGTGTCAGCGCAGGGGTGATGCTGAATCACAGTTGGTAGAATGATGAAATTTAACATTTACATTGTTGTTTTATGAGTAACAAACCAACATCACTCACCCACTGCTGCCCGAACCTGACATGGAAGAAGCTTAAATGAACAAGAACGTTTAAGAGAAAGACGTGCGCAGCTGAGGGGATCAGCTTTTAAAATGGACCTATTCTCTAAAAAAATCATTTGGTTCCTGTTCTCAAGAGTCACTTCTATGCAAAATCACTACCAATCAATGAGCAAAGAAACTGAAAGGAAACATAAACATCTAGGCAGAGAGAGAGAGAGAGACAACTGCAAAGTGTGGAGATTTCACACTTTGTCTCCAGAAATTTAGAACACAGGCAACAGAAACAGTAGATATTTACAACATTGTCATCACAGACAAGCGCCTGGTGGAATGAGCTTTATACAGACCCCAAACTTTGCTGCTAGCAATAGGAGCAATGCTTTCTTTTTTCCCACTTATTATTTACCCTCCAGGGACCTGCATTAGTGTAAACAACTCACTGAGGGTAAAAAAAAACAACATAAAAACACTGTCCTAGGCAACACAAGCATCTAAGAAACCAAGTATAGCCCAGTGGCTACAAATTAACCAAACATCAGACCTCAAAGCTCATACGCTTATGCTATGGACACATTAACATGGTTTTATTGAGGATACAGGGTTTGAGAGTAGTTATCGAGGCAGTGTATGAAACACCACACGTAATAAGTTACAATCCATAATTTAGGTTCTCACTCTTCACCATTAACCTTAAATAAATCCCATGGTGATGTGAAAATATGAATATTTATAGTCTATAATATGCACATTCTTGCAGATATACAAGATGCACCTTCTCTCCCATTGCTTTGTTATGATAATAGACATTATATGTTAGGATTCACAGTTATGGGCCTTACATGGAGCTTTCAGTTGTGCAGCCATGTGGCCAGAACACCTCTTGTGAAAAGGCTTAATTACTGTGGGATAATGGTGTTTTTCTTACATAGCAGAAAGATGCAAGCACTGAAAACAAGTGTGTACCTACAGTGCGTTTATCCCACACTGCTCTGACTTGCTCCTCTGCAGCACAAATCATGCCTCAGCTCTGGGGACATATTATAACAGCTCCCTTTTGTGCAGCCTCACTATAGTTACAGCATATACAGTATAGAACACCTGACAGCATATTAGGTTGACTATGAAAATAATTCTGGAGATTTTTGTTTTACATTTTGCTCAATTTTTCTATTTGCATCAAACTTGCACATCATTTTCCTTCTTGTTATGACCACTACAATAAAAATAGACTGGTGTTACATTAGCAGTCATAAAAATTTAGCAGGCTATTGAATATTACAGTAGATGCAGAGTTCAGTGTAAAGTGGAAGATGTGAGAAAGCCCTTTGAGGAAGACCCTGGGATTTCTAGTGGAGCATTCCTGAAGTTGTCTTGTCAGTACATTTAATGAATGGACAGTCTATGCAAACAGGAGGTTGTACAGACCATTGTAATTATAGAGCCTTGAGGGAGTCATCCTTCTTGCGCAGGTTCATTTGCCACATTAATAAGGGGATTAGTAGTACGTACAGGGGCTGATGGCAGCAGAAGAAGTTTGAGAAGATTAATGAACTATGACAATGTTGCACCTGAGGGGAAAAGTCTGTTGCAGTATCTTCTGAGTTGAGTTGTGCTGACACAGAGTTTGACTGTATGAAAGAGGAAGATGGAGAGAGGCCAGTGATTGTTGCCGACTGTGATCATACATCCTTCTCCTCAGCTATCCTGTCACTTCTTCGGAATATGTGTTTGTGATCTCTTACACTGTACATGTCCATAATACTTTTAGGTGAAGATGTTCCAGTGGGTTTAACATTTTTTGAAAATCTCATTTTTATGTGCATATGAATGGATTCTTAAACTGCATAAATAATGAGCAAGACATCAATTAACCAAAATCTTTGATCAAATCCTGTGTTGGGTCTGTTTCTACTGTCAGTTTAATAATTAAGCAAACTACTGGTAGTTGCAAGGAAAAAATAACCTGACTACTGCATTTTCTTACAGAGTAATATGAACCAGATCCACTAAACAAATGTA